TTGGTTTGTGTATGTCACTTATTCCTGGAGTGCCTTCCTGGGGTCAGGATCTCGGTGTAGCAAGTCTTGGATGAAAACGGTGAGATGCCTCAATTCCTCTGAGACTTTGCCTTTACACCCACAGAGCAGTCAGTCAGGGATCTCTGGTGGGCTGAAGGCAGAGCAGAGAGATCAAAGCATTTGCCTGAAAGAGAAAAATAAATCTGTGGCAGTAACATACTCTTCAGTCACACTGTCTTCCAGTCTGATATTTTTATCATGTGACTCCTCTCGTTTTTCCTTTTCTTCTCAGACTGAAAATCTGCTCAAAACCACAATGAACTTGTCAAATCTGTGTCCTACAAGTCAGCCTTGAGGTGATTTAGAGGTTGGTTAGTAGGGAAGTTCCAGTGCAATGAACCTTTAATCAAGGTGTGACCAACTGCATCCTAACAGATGTGGTAGCTATAGGGAAATGTGGAGAATGAGGGTCTGGATGATAAGGACACTCGTTAGTTTGGGTGGTAAAGCTATTTATTATACTATTTTGTTGTACATAGTGTAGAAATAGTATTGCAAATGCTTTCTGGTGAATACATTTCTCAGCTGTGTCACCATGGTGATAAGAGCTCATATTCCTCGGTGGAGAGTGGAAATTGGTCTGTCATCCCCTGGGTAGACAAAACCCCACCTTTTTCAATAATAAATGATGAGCTATTTATTATTCTCTAAGTGTCTTGTAATTCCCAGTAGAATCATAGAATGGTTTTGGTTAACAGGGATCTTTTGGGATCGTCTAGGCAGTTCATAGAGTCACAGAAAATCCCAAGTTGGAAAGGACCCACAGGGATTACTGAGTCCAACTCCTGACCCTGCACAGACACCCCAACAATCCCACTCTGTCCCTGAGGGCATTGTTCAAACATTCCTGCAGCTCTGGCAGCCTTGGGGCTGTGCCCACTGCCCTGGGGAGCCTGTTCAGTGCCAACCACCCTCTGGGGGAAGAACCTTTGGCTGAGATCCACCCTGAGCCTGCCCTGACACAGCTCCAGCCATTCCCTGGGGGCTGTCCCTGCTCCCCCCAGAGCAGAGCTCAGTCCTGCCCCTCCTCTGCCCCTTCCAAGGAAGCTGCAGAACGTGGTGGTCTGACCTCAGCCTTCTCCAGTTTCAGGATTACAAAAATTACCAAAAGAAAGCAAAGCTGTGAGTGTGCTGTAGGGATACCTTCTTTCCCTGCCAGTTTACAAATCACTTTTTCCCCCATCATTTGCTGCACAGGATTAAATAATTCTCTGTGTGCTCAGAAAACTGCAGCATTGACTGACAAAAGGTTTAGAGGTGGCCACCAAGACACCTGCTTGAGTGTTTGGAAGATTGATAGACCCCATCTCAAAATACATTCCGTTTTCAAAATACATTTCAATACACTCCCACTGTATTGACATTTCATGTGTTTAACATCTGCAGTTACTTAAAAAGTCATGCATTTATTTGCTGACTTCTCATGTGCTGCCCTCAGTGTTTCCTCTGTGCCAGTCAAGGCCTGCATGGCTTTAGTAGACTCTGGTCAATATATTGATTTTTACTGACTGACACCTTTTATCTTTTCTGGCTACGTGAAGGAGGAGTTCTAGCTGGGAAACCTCATCTATGCCCTTCTTTGGGTTGTAACATTTCATCCACTTCCCAGACTGCATCCAGTAGTCCTTTTTTCCTCGGTGGTGCTGTTCATTTGGGGGGGGGGGGGGGGGGGGTTGTTTTGTTGTTGTTTCTGGTTTTTTGAGGTTTTCTTTAAAGACAAGTGAGGAAAATCAAGCAGAACAGGAAAGGAATGTTTTGGTAAATCTCAATTTTTTTCTTTACTGTTCTCTGGGTAGGAAGAATGAGTTGGCCAAAAATTCTGAGTTCATTCCAATGCACATTTAAGCTC